TGAGGAGTCAACCTTTGGTGACTTACAGTGAAAATTATGCACATAGAACAAATCAAGACTCAGATTTTATGGGAATTTACAAAAATTCAGTAGACAATTTTCATTGTACTTCCCTTCAGTTCAGTGTCATTCATTCCTTTTATGGAGTGGGTAACATTTCCTAAGGGAACTGCTTTTATCATGGGCCCAATCCTGAATTATTTTCCCAGGCCCTAACATGGAAAAGCACTTTAAGAGGTGCTTGATTTGCCCTTCTTCAAACCAGTGCCTAAGCATGCTTGTAACTTTGGACAAACATCCCATTGACCTCAGGCAAATGGAGCAGAGTTGATGCTTTATTATTCTTTTTGAGTAGGGTGTGCCTTCCTGGCACAGGATCCCAGTTGTGGGATGGGGTCTTCATGCTCTTAGAGTGTTGAAGTATGTTGTAAGCAACCCCAAAGATGAAGTAACAAGACTAGAATATACAACTAGAAAAACAGCTGGGAGAATTCCACTCTCTTCAACTCCCATGGAGGTTGCCATTTTGAAATACATATTTGTTCTTTTTTGGGAAAGTACTTTCCTGGCATGGGTAGATTCAGAACTGCAATTACTAATGCCACTGATCCCATTTAAGATTATCTTTTTGGGTACCTCAGCGAATATAATTTGAGAACTCACAGTCATATCCATAACAGACAAATTTGAGATGAGAAAAAATAATGAGAGTGAATTTCATGTGAAATATGGCAATTTTTAGTTTAGGAAAAAAAGGAATTAGAAAATAAAATTAACAAGATCAAAATGTTGGTCATTCATTTTTCAGTTGTGGAATGTTACCTGTCCCTTTAGTCATTCTAATTATTTGCTGCATCAGGCTAAATTATGTGCTGAAGTAGCTCAGAATCACTACAACACGTAAAAAATTATGGCTGGTTCTCGTTGAACTGCTACCTATTATCATGGCATATGACTCTGAGGTGGGGCCTGCAATCACAGTTGTAAATCAAAGAACAAGTCATAGGTTAGGTACTGTTTTCCTTAGATACTGTCTCTAAGTTTTTTCTGTATGCTAGTCTTGAGTGACGTTTGGTGAGCTTTTCAGTTAGGTGTAAAGTCAAGAATACGTAGTTCCCAACCTGAAACTAAGGAAGTGCTAACTCTTAGTCTTGTTCATAATCGATAGATGAAATTCTGGCAACATCCTGGTGATAGAATTTCTGTCACTGAAGGTTTCAGTGTCACATTGTTCCGGTGTTACTTTTTCCCTAGCGGGGAATCCAATCATTATTATATTTGGCTCCTTAGCAGGCCATCAAATCTGACTTGCTTTGAGATTTTAGCATCTAAAAATTTCTGTTTGGACTGATACTTGTGCATGCCAAAATGTCTTCCAGAATCTTAGATAAAAAATACACAAAGAAAGGCTGACTTGTGTGCTTCAACAGAAAAGAAATCCACATATGAAAGCTGGAGTAGTCCCTCAAACAGGGAAGTAAGGAGCCAAGTTTTTAACAAGTGTTGCACACATCTTCCCAAGATCAGACCTGGTGTTTTGGCCTCTATGTACTGTCTTTGATCTTGCATAATGAAGGCAACTGGTTTTACTGTCCATCTTTGAAACTGAGAGTAGCTGTTAAGATCAGGTATGCAAAAACCAGAAGCACCCAGAGATGCAGTTGAGCCCATAGCACTTGAAATCCCCTGGGAATTTTAAAAACATCTTGATTCTTGAAAGCAATCACAAATAAGTAGAAGAAAAGCATTTTAAACACTCTGAAAATCCCACCTTGGTTTATTTGGCAGGTGAAAAAGAATCCAGGTAATACACTACATATAATGATCATTCAGCGACAAAGTAGGTGTTCATGGAAAATGCTCATGCTTAAATCTGTCAGCAGTTAATGATCATCTTTACAGACCATAATACTTGAATACTTCACTTATCGATGCATCAGGGCTTGGATGAACTTTGAGACGTATGAAAATGGGACACTCCTTAGGCCAATGGTAGCTCTGTGTTCTAGTAACTGATCAACCAATTACATAATTGACCAGATCACTGACTTGCATAAATAGATACAACTCCATTGACTTCACTGGAGATGACGGTTACCTGGGAATTGACCCGAAACTCTTGCCACGAAGCAGATAATGGTTTCATATTTTGCTGTTTAGTGTTGTTATAAAAATAGGCTCATTTCCTGGAGCAGTTAAAACAAGAAAATCTGGAAAAGCAATTTCCCACAGAGACTCATCCACACTGGAATTTGCCGAGGTCCCCGGATGTGAACATGTGCTATTAGAAAACATAAACCAGCAACTTTGTTTAGGGAAGCCTCTGACCTGTCAAAAATGCAAAGCATTTGTTACCAGACTTTTCCTTGGCAATTAGCGGGTAGAATTACTCATAGAAATTGTTTTGTTTGCTCACAAGGGGAGAAGCAAGACATAAATTCAAGATATCCCCTGTTTGACCACAAGAAAGAAGACTCTGTTCACAGAGGGCCTGTGGGTGAAGTGCTGAGCGGCCTCAACTCCCTTTGGGGATGAACTCAAACTTCTAGACCTCAGTGAAGTATCAACAGCCCTCCAGGGTTGCTGGACATCCCTGGCTGTGATTTTTTTAGCAGTCTAAGGGATTTGGGCATCCAATTTTAACTCATTTTTACAAGACTTTCAATAAATCTCAGTTGGCTTCAAACCCCCTCTGTGTTCTACAGTGAGGCTAATTTTGACCCAGGGATGCCGCGGTGAGTGTTGCCTTCCTTTCCTAGGTAGCAGCACTCAAACCCCAGGTTAGCTTTCTGATGTTTGGTGTAGGTGTTTCCCAGCAGTGATTTTTCAAGTGCCTGTTGCATGGGACAGCCTAACATTTCAGATGGGGAGTCCTCCTTACTCCAGCCATGCTTCACCTTTTCCTTAGCACTTTGGTTTTACATGTCTTTTCTATATAAAGGTGGTGCTGGTTTAAGCTGAAGACCAGGGAAGTTTCAAGAGGCCAGATTTTCTGCTATGGGCCCTGTTCTGCTGGACCCTGTTGCCCAGCTGTGCCTGCTGTGTGGGGCCAGAGAAGGAGGGAGAGATGCTGCAGCATTTCAGGGAAGCCAAGATATGCCTCCTCGTGCTCAAATGGTCCTGTCTGAAGACACGTCCTCCCTGGCTGCCACCAAGCACTGCGGTTTCTCCTTTTCCCCCTTGCCTTGAGGGCTGATGTTTCCCTGATGCCTACATGTCCCTCATGCAGGGGAGGGTCTCATGCTGCATAATGTGGTTGAGGAGACCTGGTATCTACTTGGCAGCAAGATTCCCATGCAGACTGGAGGCTCTGTGCTTATACCCTTGTGAGTGAAGACCCTTCTTGGTCCAAACTCACCCACAGTAAAATAAGCTGCTCAGAGGTCTCCTTGGAGCCAGGAAACTACTCAAATACATCTTCAGGATCTGAATTCTTCCTCGACTGCAATGGGTTTCCACAGCAAAAGTGACAGAAGCAGTTTATCACAGAGTGGTTTAACAGGTCATGTATGAGTCCTGCAGGTTAATGCTCAGCTTGTGTACTTTACTGATTGCCACAAATGCTGCTTTTAAATTGAATAGTCACTATTTATTCAGGGATATCTGTTTCTCTTACATGTACTTCAGAAGAGCTTGCCTAACAGCTTGTATCCATTTATTGTGAAGAGCCTGCTGGACGATCCAAAATGGTTAGGCTATGTCTGCATATCTAATGGGGATTTTGGGACCTTGCAGCTGGGGTTAGCAAGTGCAAATGTTTCCCATTAGCTCCTTGCATTCCCCTAAGTTGTGATTCCGCAAGAGAATCAGTGCAAAGCTAAACTTGAGGCATGTGAGATGTTTCTTTGAAGTTACTTGTGCTTAAAGTTAGGCATGATCTGAGTTGGCTTGCTAAGCTGGGGCCCTGAAGAGCGTACTGTGCTAACACAGTGTAAGCTTAGTCTTTTCCTCTTATGCATTGCCTGGAGTGATGCTAGTTTCAGAAGCGGTCTGCAGCCTTTCAGTAAACTATTTCATAGTATTGAGGGAAAGCTTTAACTATTCAATGGCTTTCTACCAGCAAGCTCAGCTCCACTAGAAAATCCATAGCAATGTCTGTCCTCTCTGGGCCTCTAAGGTCTCTTCCTTCCTTATTTTCTTCAGCATGTTTCTTTTCAAAGGCAAGTGAAAAAAAATCTTAAAATAGTACCTTAAAAAGGTGGGAAATTAAGCAGATCATATCATCTTGATTCCTTTATCTCGCTTAATTAAGGAGAAGTTTGCCAATAGTGATCTGGTATTTCCTAAAACAAGCATACATGAAGAACACTTTGAGCAACTTCAAAAGAATTTTCAGGCTAGATCAGGAAAAGATAAAACCAGAAGTGGAAACTTCTAATACACTTTATAGCTCATTACTTACAGGAAGTACATTGTTGCATAGGATACTAATGAATTCTGCAGGATGAGGTTTCCAAAAGAAAAAAAATATGGCCCCTTCTGTATCTTAGAGGAAAGGTCTCAGGGCTTTTGCAGTTATGATAGACAGGCAGTGGATGTGTATGGTCATATCACCCGGACAGATTCTACCTCTGGGAAAAGGCTTTTTAAAGTTTCAAGGGTGTACACTATTGAATTTCTGTAGCAACTTCCTGGTCTAGCTGTGAATAGTGATAAAGGGAATGGTAAAAGTCTATCTTGTTTTCAGTTGTCCTGTTCTGCACCCTAGGAGGCAGAAATACTGCATTGCATGTATCTAGCTGCAGGGAGGACAGCAGGCACACATTTGAATGACTGAGGATAAGCATGGTAAAGTTGGTGCTGATGTTCTCGATCAGGTAATGAGACCAGCCAAGTGAGAATAGCAAAATGGATACTCGGATTTACCAGTGACATTTCTCTGGAAAATTAATATTTGACAGACTCTTAATTAACTCAACTGAAGAAGTAATCCTAAAATCCTGGTTTTGGACAAGGGCCTGAATCCCAAGCTACTGGATTTACTGTTAGTGAGTTGATGTTCTCAGAAGTGGTGTGAAACAGGGATATTTCATATTTGTAAAGTACCCAGAGATCCTACAGATGACAAGTAACAGTTTTCTACTATTTAAAGAGTTTTCCTGGTGTAAGCAGGCCCCTCGATGGTGACTAGAGAGTTGAGGGGTTGTGCCCCAGGCTCAGCTCATGGTTTCAAGTCCAGATGTGCTGTCCCCCAGTTAACACCAGCTGGTGTTGGGTGCACTTCTGTCACGCGCAGGGTATTGCACACATGGTGGTTACCTTGCTGTTCTCCACCACGGGGGAATATGTCCGCCTGCCAGCTCTTGTATTTCACTCGGATTGTAAGGATAGCTTTACTGTATGTTTGAGCATATTTTAGGCGGCAAGGCATTTCCATCAGGACTGAAGCACACGGGTGGTGAAGCTTGAGCATTTTTTTCTTCAATACAGGCAAGGTATTTAAATATCGGGTTAGTTGTTCTTTGTATCTTTAGGCACCCAGATACTTCTAAACTTGTGGTCACTGGAAGGCTGTCTTACTGAACATCAAGAGACGTTTCTACTCATGCTTGAAAGTGAGATTTAGACTCCTAAGTCACAAAGATGCTTTTGCAAATGTTGTATCTGTCTTTCTGTTTCTCTATAAATCGACCTGCTTGGCCTGAACTGAATGTTTAAATAATAAACAGCTGAAGGACAGCCTGATTGCTTCTTTCTGAGTGTTTCCCTTATGGAGCGCTTGGGGTCACATGGCATCTGCTCTGACATTAAGGACCTCCTTTCTGGAGGCTTTTTTATGATGCTGACAAACCCACATTTTAACTAGCCGTTAAATAAGCTAGTCAGTGGTAACTATTCAGGACAGGGATTAGAAGAGTATTCTTACTGGGATACAAGATGGCTCTGTCCATGTGCTGGCCAGGGTTGAAGGGCTGGAAAACTGTGGTGGAAGAGACTATTAATGCGATTTTCCACAACTTTCCTTGCAGCTGCATTTTTGAGGAGAGAGAGAGAGAGATGGCTAGGCTTGCAGTAACATGTTGTGCCGTCATAAATGCTACAGCCACCATCTGTTTCCAGCCCACGACTTGAAAGAAAACTGAGCAGTAATCTCATAATTCACATGAGCATTTTACACTTGTGAACCCTTCCCAACCTTTGTCTAATAATGAGGGGAGTGCATGGTGCTAAGGTTTGTATTTTTCCTGCACGTATTAGTGTTTATTTGTATGTCTCTTTCTGTTTTGTTGTTTTTTTTTTTTTCCACGGGCCCATTAAAAAAATTTCTCTGGGAGGAAAATCAGACCAGTTCCACGGTCAAAAGAAACATAATAAAGGCGAAATCCCAATTCCATTGACCTTGCTGGCAAAATTCTCCAGGAGGAGGTGCATTTAACATTCCTTGCTGTGTCTGTCTTGGTTACTTGTTGATTAAAAGAAAGAAAGACGTTAGAAAGTGAAGAGGCAGGTTGCTGAACTGCCCTTTCCCTGCAGAAACAGAGCTGCTAGAATAGCTGGACATGCGCATTTTAAACCCGCACCATCAGATAGGATGGTAATGGTAGGTTGGATTTTAATGAAAACAAATTCTTCTGCTAATCTTCGCTTCGGGCTGGCCCTCCGTGGGATTAAGGATACCACCTGCTGTGCCAAAGACGTGCTCAGGTTCGAGGCTGCTGGTGGGTGGGAAGAACACAAACATCTGAGAGTGACTCTGGTGAGGGATCGCAGTCTGTCCTGTTGCAGTGCCCTCAGGGAAGCCAAGGAGTTGAGATCATTTAGCTGATGGAAATACTGCTCCCCTCCAGCCTGCAAAGCAAGGCTAACATCGTTAAGGATTTCTTTTTGACTGTTCCGCAAAACCAAGGGCTGCTGATTCTCTAGGCCTCCTCTCGTCTTTGGACCCAATTTGCACGCCTCCTCCTAGCACAGCCGAACTGGCTGAATGAACTCCTGCTCTCCTCTGGCCTTAGAAACAATGACTTTCATCATCTCGACCAGACTGCAGAGCAGTTTAAGGATGAAAGGGCTTCTCATTTCATATATCCCACTGCTGCTAGAACTATAAATCCTTGATGGACTGAGTTTATAGCAAACTGCTACTGAAAGCAAGTGAAATTTATTTTGTGTTGTCATATGTATGGTCAAACTGTCCAAGAAGTTGCCAAACAAAGAGCTGAGCTGCTGATGGGCAACCAATTCACTCTCTTCTCATTTTATTTAAAAATAATAAATAACTATCAATCAAAGGAACTTATTTTGACATGTGCTAGCTGTTGGGTGATCCTCAGTATCTCCAAGATGTGTCCATAAGTGGAAGAAAGCTGCCAGCTGTTGCCA